GACGGAGGAGAAACACCAGAGACGGCAATAACAATGACTTCAACACATACAGGTCTGTGAAACAAAATCTATATATCTATATATGCCAATTTAAAGTGCTTTTTATTATTATAGTCTTAGTGCTCAGATTTGATCCTTTGAATTTAAAACAATAAAATAATATGTATTTAGTGTTTTTAGTAAATATGAAGCAATTTTTGTTGTATGATTTTCTTTTTTTTTCCGTGCATTTTTTACACATCAGTATCAACAAGTCTATACAATGCTTTATATCTTTCAATATAAATGTTTATATATCTTGATAAACCTGATATGACGAAACGAGAGAGTCATGCAAAATAAAGTAAATGACTTGGAGTCCTCTACAAGTCCTGTGGGACATTCATGCTGCCATTACATTGAGTTTTGAAAATAATATTTTAGGAAATTTAAAGAGAAAAAAAACAACCTTTGCTAAATATCCTGTATGACGTTAAGTTTCAAGGTAAAGTTTTATCATCTTCAGCCACAAGTTATGTTTCTTGTATTTTGTGAGGATAAACTATAGTGAAGTCTCATTAGTTTAGATTGATTCATAAAAAACAACAACACTCTAATTGATTTTTCAAATAAACTGAATGAAACTCTTGTGTTGAGCTGTTGAACTTGAACCAGCTGAACAGGTTGAAATTGTCAGACTGATGGAGTTTGTTAACTGTAACAAAAGGCTAAACAATATTCTATTTATTTATTAATATTCTCATAAATTATCATATTTTTTTATCATTGAAACATTCTAGAGACTTGGAACAAAACATGTACCACAACTTTTTCTGCCATTAATTTTGTTAGCAGCCACTTTGAATTTTCACTTTGAAATGAATCAGAAACATTCTGAACACATATGTGTGTGAACAAATTAAGAAAAACATATTTTTAAATTTAAATTATTATTATTATTTTTTTATTTGTATGTATTTGTAGGGTCTGATCTGAGGATGGTTCTTCTGGGTAAAACTGGATCAGGAAAAAGTGCAACAGGAAACACCATCCTGGGCAGAAAGGCTTTTGAAGTTGTTGATTTCATGAAATCAGCCAATAAACTCTGTGAGAAACAGGGAGGAGTGGTGGATGGAAAACACGTCTCTATAATTGACACTCCAGGACTGTTTAACACAGCTATGGATAAACAACGAGTGAAGACTGATAAACATCAGCTGAAGACTGAAATAGAAAAGTGTGTAGAGATGTCCTCTCCTGGTCCTCATGTGTTTCTGCTGGTGCTAAAGCTGGGTGTGAGATTCACAGAAGAAGAGAGAGAAGCAGTGAAATGGATTCAGGAGAACTTTGGAGAAGAAGCTTTGCGCCGTACCATCATTCTGTTCACTCACGCTGATCTGCTGAAGGGAAAACCTGTGGACGAGTACATCAGTAAAAGTGACTATTTAAGAGAAATAGTTCACAGCTGTGGTGGCAGATATCACTCATTCAACAATAAAGACAGAAACAATCAAGATCAGGTCACACAACTGCAGAAGAAGATCAACTCAATGATGAAGAAAAATGAAATGATGCATTACACTTTTGAGATGTTTAAAACCACTCAGATGAAGAAGGAAGAAAAATGGGCAAAGACTGCATGTGCAGTTGCAGTGCTAGGGATTGGATTTCTAGGCATAGTGAAAATAGCAGGCATGATAATTGCTGGCAGAACAGCTGCAGGACGTGCAATAGCAACTACAGAAGCAACAAAACAAGCTGTAGATAAAATTTTAGCAGCTGTAGAAAAAGCAGCAGAAGAAGCTGCAGAAAGTGCAATAATGACTTCAAAAGAAGTAGGAGTACAACCTGTAGAAAAGCTTTTATCTGCTATACAAAAAACAGTAGAAACTTCAGGAGCAACAGTTACAAAAAAAGCAGTAGCAGCTGTAGAACAAGCAGTAGAAGCAGTTACAAAAAAAGCAGAAACAACTGTAGAAAAAGCAGTAGAAATTGCAGTAGAAGTAGTTGCAAAAAATGCAACAGAAACTGTGAAAACTGCAGAAATTGTAGAAAAAGCAGTAGAAACTGCAGTAGAAGCAGTTACAAAAAAAGCAACAGAAACAGTAGAAAAAGCAGTAGAAACAGCAGGAGAAGCAGTTGCAAACACAGCAGTAGCAGCTGTAGAAAGTGCAGCAGCGACAGCAAAAGGAGTAGTTACAGGTCTGGCAGCAGTAGCAGCAGCAGCAGCAGCCAGATCTGCAGCAGCTGCAGGGAAACTGGCCTCATCAGGAAGAGTAGCTGCAGTAGCTGCTTTAGCAGCAGCATTTGGAGGAGCAGCTGTTACACTAATATCAGCACTGAAACGGTAAAACGATAGTCTATCAGGTACTTGCAGCTCTCAGATTTAGATTTGTATTGGTCTTATTTGAATGGGATTTACACACTGAACACAAAGTTATTTATTCATGGATTACAATATTGAATCAAAATTCAAGTGCATAAATAATTCAATTGATTAAGCTGTTTGAGAAAAGAGTTCACAAAATTCATGCACTCGTCATGAATTCAAATCAGGTTCACAGCACAAATGAAGTTGAAGCGATTAACATGTTAAAACATTCAAGTCTTTTATTCTTCATTTGTAAAGACGGCACACAGTTTGAGCTTTTGAACCCTCAGACCAAATGGCGGATTCAAACTTAAGCAATGTACTGTACTGTAAATGAACTAAATTTCTTTATTTCTTTTTTTTGGTGCTCCAACTCTAACTTTGTTTAACTGAAAATAATAGTTTTGTTTGAGGTCACTATTTTTGGTGTAATTTACAATAAGGTTCATTAGTTAATATTAGTTAACAACATTAGTTAACATGAACTAAGAATGAACAATACTTCTACAGCATTTATTAACCGTAGTTAATGCTAATTTCAGCATTTACTAATGCATTATTAAAATCACAAGTTTTGTTTGTTAACATTAGTTAATGCACTGGGAGCTAACATGAACTAACAATGAATGATTATATTTTTATTAAATAACGTTAACAAAGATGACTAAACAGGGGTGTGTTTCCCAAAAGCAACTATGGTCACAAGTTCTGTTGTTACTCAGTAATATAAATCAAATCATATTAAATATTATTGAAATGTATTCAAAAACACTGGGTTTTATAATTGTGGTCAGTGTTTGCTTCAGGTAGTCTCTTGACCCTTTTACTAACACAAAGAAATTTGTTTCTGTGCAATTACAATGTTGTTCCACAGCAAACATTTGTGCATTGCTGAATCAAACCTTGAAATAGCAGATGAGATTACATTATCTGACTATACGTCATGATGATTGATCATCATGCAGGAGTTTTGTTTTGGTTTATTGACTTGCTTTACTGAACTAGGAAATTAAAAACATAGTAAACAAATGTCCAAGTATTACAATTAATGAGCTGCCAGCCGCTCAGTCTTTTAGACATGTACACTTTTATCATATGATCCTCAACAGTGGTGACAATAATTATTCATGCTGCAGAGCATGATGGGAGATTTTACTATGGTGTTAACCAGCATGCATTGCAGCATGAAGCATTTTGTTGATTGTCACCATTGCTGAGATTCATATGCTGGTTCTTGATGTCTGTGTGTCCAGCTAAGACAGGAGGTCATATTTTTATATATATTACATAAATTTAATAGTAGTCATTATAATGTAAAGTGACTTTCTGTTTGCAAGCTGTAGTTTCACAAGTCAATGCAAAACCTTAACATGTGACTGAAAGAAGATAAATAATTTTAATTACTTCAGGCCTGCTCATGATAAGTAGTGCATCGCTTAAAAACAGTTTATAGCTGTTCACTGTACAACATACCATGCACCGCTGCTAAAAGGGTTGAGGCAAGGGTCAAGAGCTCAACTAAAGCAAACACTGATCTCCATGTGGTGATATAATTTTAACCAATAAAACATCAACATCTGATCCTCTGTAATTCTCAATAACAGCAGGTGTTCATCACTAATGCACAATCATCATTTAATTACTCACTTAATTATCTCATTAACTTTAACTCTTTGAGGACTTGGGATTTGACTTGAAGACTTGCTTGTGACTTGAAAGTCCCACCTCTTATTTTTACTGCCTTGTTTTGTGACGTTCAAAAATCACACAAAAATTATCAGAATATTGTGTCACCATTGCTGAGATGCACATGCTGATTTCTTCATGTCTATGAGTGCCAGAACTGAAACCTCCTATTGAACCATATTTATAAAAGTCATTTAAGAAGGATTTTCTCACATTGTTATCTTGTTTAACTGCAACACTATAAAGAAACGTAAGCATTGAAGTTTAAGATAAATTGCCATCAGGTTCTCTGACACATGACATGATATTATCATAAGTACCTTTTCATCACGTATGTGTTTAATACACACAATTATGCCAGCCAAAGAGAAACTTAAGTTTAAAAAGTCAAGGGTCAAGAGGCAACTAAAGCAACCACTATTCACAAAAACGGTAAGTTGAAAAAAAAATCTAAACATTAATTCTTAATAAAGAAGTTCTGTTTTAGATAGTCTAACTGGTTAGTAATGCATGGAGCGAGTGTGTCCTCGCTGCAGCCTGTAGCACGATGACGAAGCTGGATCAGATCCAATACGTATTGGATGTTTGACGAGCATGCGCAGTATTGGATTTTAATGCGCATGCGCTAAGTGGGGCTGTCATTAAAGCTAGTATTTAATGTAAATTAAACTGTAATTACGAGATATAGGTGTGTTTCATAGGCTTACACAGATTATATTATACTGTGATTTTAAACTAGTAGTGTATTCAAACTTTATTTAAGCAGCGATGGCGTAGTTTTGAATGAAAGGGAATGTAAGCTATGTTTATTTTTTATTAGTTTGATTCGTTTTAGAAATAAAACTCTACTAATTACAATTTTGTTTGTTCTTTATGAAAAAAATGGGGTGTAACTATTGTCTTTATTTTTTCCTCTGATAGTTAGATAGTTCTATCAAAAATTCGTTCATGAATCAAATATTATTTGTCGTTCTCACTCTCTGTGCTATATGTGACAGAGTATAAAAAAAGTTATAGGCCTACTAAAATATGCGGACATAATTTTTATACCATATAAAAAAGAAGAAAAACAATCCTGTCACTCGGGGGTCCGTATAGCCGATAGACCCGTACCCGGGTTATACCGGGTTTTTACAGTTAATCCCATGTCCAGCAAATAAATACACACACGGTCGGAGACAAGGCATATTAACACAAAGATGACCATTTCTTTTGTGTGTGTTATATGCACGTGAAATCCTCGGGAGACTTTTTTGAGTGTTGTATCAGACGATAGTATGAAAAGCAACTGATAAAACATTTCTTTGATTTACAGTGCAACGTCTGCATATCAATCATGTTTCAGTGCTTGTTGTATCCTTATAATAATGGATACAGCACTGATGTGCTATGGTAAGCCGTTTTGACTTTTGTTCATTCTCAGGATATGAATTCTTGATATCAACAGTTAAATTTTTACTAGTTAAAATGTTAATTCTTGATATCAGGAATTAGATTTCTACTAGTAACAATCGCTATTTTTGATATCAGCAATTACATTTTCATTAGTTAAAATGCTAATTCTTGATTTCTGATATCATGAATGTGATTGTTACTAGTAACAAAAGTCATTTTAGATAACGTCTCGGTTACTTGTGTAACCCTCGTTCTGCATATCAGTCATGTTACAGGGCTTGTTGTATCCTTAAAATAATGGATACAGCATTGATGTGCATCCTGGCGATAACATATGAATTGCAGGCTATTCAAAAAATAAATAATTAAATAAATAAAGCTTTGAAGTTGCCGGTATAGACGAAAACATCGCGGATGAATTTAGACATTAAAGTTTTTACATTGTAATGTAATGAAGGTCATCGTGTAGATATGTCATGTAGGTCAAAAACCCTTGCTACATGTACTGCGTTAGACTTCACTTACACCAAGTCGTTAGACTAAGTCGCTGTGGATATAGCGTCTACAAAATGATAAAATGTAAATAAAAATATGAATTTATTCGAGACCTACTACAGCGCATGCACGTAAAATATCCACTACGTAGTGGATATAGTCCAGCTACGTCATCGTGCTGCAGGCTGCAGCGAGGACCTCTTGGATGAAGCTGCTGATGCTGTTTGTAGAGTTGTTCAATCACCTTCTGCTGAGCTCTTGAGAGATTTACCCCCGGGTTCACAGACAAGGCTTAAGCCTAGTCCTAGACTAAAATGTAAATCTGAGCTGTTTCAACTGAAAGAAACTTGCACTGACTGTTCTTAAAATATATCAGTGCTGTTGTTTTGTCTTAAGATGCACACCTGTAATGCTTTTTTCTAAGGCATGTTTATAAAAATTTCGTAAATGTCCTAATTGAACTATGGCCTAATCCTGGTTTACGCTAAGCCCTGTCTATGAAACCGGGCCTTAATGTCGTCTTTTATTTCAGTTGATTTCATCTAAGGCTGTGGCTGAAGTCAGATGTAGTTCTTGTGTTTCTCTTTTCTTCAGTGATTCTGCTTGTTAACAGCAGCTGTTCATCACTAATGCACAATCAGCACTTAATTAATCACATAATTATCTCATTAACTTTAACACTGCTTCATTCATATTATAGGGAGATGAAAGTCTATTTAGAAATTACTTGAAAAATACTGAACTCTGTGTTGGTTTTACCTTGCAGATTTCTGACAGCAAATTCAACAAAATGAATGAATGCAGAGTCCTACGTGGCACAATGGTTGCACCTGTTCAATTTGTATATGCTCCCCATAGTAAGAAAAAAATAAAATAAAAATCTCTTACAAACAACACTCCCAGATCTATCTAGCTCGCTGCAAAGCCACATATGCCAATGTATTGATGATATTAACAATTGGATGTGCCGTAATTTCATTCAGTTAAAAAAGACAAAACAGACGTCATGGCAATATTGTTGCTTCAAAGAAACATACAATGCATACAAACCTCAAATGATTTCGTTGTTATATCCACCGATGTCATTTTGCATTCAGGCCTCACTCTGGCGGGCATGGGAGAAAGATGGCGCCCCCCTCTCTGGTTCTAAGTAACCGTGAAAGCTGAGCTCCAGGGGCTTTTTCGAGCGACTCGAGGCCCACGAGGCCTCACTCTGGTGGGCATGGGAGTGTGATGGCGCCCCCTACTCTGGTTCTAAGTAACCGTGAAAGCTGAGCTCCAGGGGCTTTTTCGAGCGACTCGAGGCCCACGAGGCCTCACTCTGGCGGGCATGGGAGAAAGATGGCGACCCCCTCTCTGGTTCTAAGTAACCGTGAAAGCTGAGCTCCAGGGGCTTTTTCGAGCGACTCGAGGCCCACGAGGCCTCACTCTGGTGGGCATGGGAGTGTGATGGCGCCCCCTACTCTGGTTCTAAGTAACCGTGAAAGCTGAGCTCCAGGGGCGTTTTCGAGCGACTCGAGGCCCACGGGGCCTCACTCTGGCGGGCATGGGAGAAAGATGGCGACCCCCTCTCTGGTTCTAAGTAACCGTGAAAGCCGAGCTCCAGGGGCTTTTCCGAGCGACTCGAGGCCCACGAGGCCTCACTCTGGTGGGCATGGGAGTGTGATGGCGCCCCCTACTCTGGTTCTAAGTAACCGTGAAAGCCGAGCTCCAGGGGCTTTTCCGAGCGACTCGAGGCCCACGAGGCCTCACTCTGGTGGGCATGGGAGTGTGATGGCGCCCCCTACTCTGGTTCTAAGTAACCGTGAAAGCCGAGCTCCAGGGGCTTTTCTGAGCGACTCGAGGCCCACGAGGCCTCACTCTGGTGGGCATGGGAGTGTGATGGCGCCCCCTACTCTGGTTCTAAGTAACCAGTAAAGCTGTGCTCCAGGGGCTTTATCGAGCGACTCGAGGCCCACGAGGCCTCACTCTGGTGGGCATGGGAGTGTGATGGCGCCCCCTACTCTGGTTCTACGTAACCGTGAAAGCTGAGCTCCAGGGGCTTTTTCGAGCGATGCCGGGACCGAGAACCCGACACCCTGGCGGGGGTGACGCCAGGCTGAAGTCCCCCTTGACTGAGAACGCAAGCTGAGCTCCAGGGTCTGCACTGAGAGATGCCTAGCCCACGTACCCCTCACCGTGGCCGGGGTGAGGCGAGTCGCTGACGCCCCTTGGGTGGGTGTCTTTTTTAACAGGTTGACCAGTGGCGGGTCCGGGGCAAAAACGACTAAGTGCGACATGCGGGGGACGGGCCAGACTTCCAGCCTCTCCGAGGTGCCGGGGCAGGCCGGGAAGGGCGCCTCGTCCCGGGGTGCGATTGGGATTCGCCCGCGACTCCGGAGGTCGACCCGAGAGGGGGTCGCGTGTCTACGTGCCGTCGCGATTATGACGAACGCGCTTTTCTTGGAATTTTGATCCATAACTTGGAACGAGGGGCTGCACGGAGAGATGCCTAGCCCGCCTACCCCTCACCGTGGCCGGTGTGAGGCGGGTCGAAGGCCCCCTCGTATGCGAACGCAATCTGAGCTCCAGGGGCTGTACGGAGAGATGCCTAGCCCGCCTACCCCTCACCGTGGCCGGTGTGAGGCGGGTCGAAGGCCCCCTCGTATGCGAACGCAATCTGAGCTCCAGGGTCTGTACGGAGAGATGCCTAGCCCACGTACCCCTCACCGTGGCCGGGGTGAGGCGAGTCGAAGACGCCCCTTGGGTGGGTGTCTTTTTTAACGGGTTGACCAGTGGCGGGTGCCTGGCAAAAACGACTAAGTGCGACATGCGGGGGACGGGCCAGACTTCCAGCCTCTCCGAGGTGCCGGGGCAGGCCGGGAAGGGCGCCTCGTCCCGGGGTGCGATTGGGATTCGCCCGCGACTCCGGAGGTCGACCCGAGAGGGGGCCGCGTGTCTACGTGCCGTCGCGGTTGTGACGAACGCGATTTTCTTGGAATTTTGATCCATAACTTGGAACGAGGGGCTGCACGGAGAGATGCCTAGCCCGCCTACCCCTCACCGTGGCCGGTGTGAGGCGGGTCGAAGGCCCCCTCGTATGCGAACGCAAACCGAGCTCCAGGGGCTGTACGGAGAGATGCCTAGCCCGCCTACCCCTCACCGTGGCCGGTGTGAGGCGGGTCGAAGGCCCCCTCGTATGCGAACGCAAACCGAGCTCCAGGGGCTGTACGGCGAGATGCCTAGCCCGCCTACCCCTCACCGTGGCCGGTGTGAGGCGGGTCGAAGGCCCCCTCGTATGCGAACGCAATCTGAGCTCCAGGGTCTGTACGGAGAGATGCCTAGCCCACGTACCCCTCACCGTGGCCGGGGTGAGGCGAGTCGAAGACGCCCCTTGGGTGGGTCTCCGTTTTAACGGGTTGACCAGTGGCGGGTCCAGGGCAAAAACGACTAAGTGCGACATGCGGGGGACATGAAGTCAGTTTTAGTTCTTTGAGAATTACTGTAGATGAGAAAAAGAAATGCTGCTGAGCTGTTCATGTACTAGTTCAAACCAGTTTTAGACTCAGTTTCAGCAGAAAGGTCTTTCTTTTCAACTGAGATCTTCTTAAGCTTATGTCAAACCTTTTTTTGTGTGACTCACCAAATGTACATAAACACATTTATCATTGGATTGATTGTTGTTTGTTATTAATAGTCACTACCCTTATGTATGGCTTATTTACTTATTTAAGTATGAACAAATTCCTGAACTTTCCCACATTCCCAAATTTAGCACATAAGGTACATAAACTCTTCTCTATCATAAATAAAACTGTAATTCAAAGGGGGAAAATAATTTGGGAAAATAATTTGGGTTTAGACATTAATATAATTTTATGTTAAGTTATAATAGCATGATAGCTATATATATATATATATTGGACACATTAACATGGTTTCATTCAGCATATCTGATATACATACAGACATGTATATATATATATACACACACACACACACACACATGTCTGTATGTATATCAGATATGCTGAATGAAACCATGTTAATGTGTCCAATCACAAGCCTTGTTTGCCAAGTCAGCTGAACAGCTGTACTCTAGATGCCCAAAGCGAGATACTAGTTTCATTTTGTTTCATTAGCACAACACACTGCTGAGTGATTTTCAAAAAATTTTCTAGTCCACAGAATCAGTTTCATATTTACCACAACAAAGGTAAGACATACCAGGCACATGGATATTAAAACCATTAATACTGATCACATAAATAAATGTCTGCCAATCCTTTGCCATTATATCAAACCTTATTCAGCAACAGCTCTTTTCATTTCATTCAGGTATTTTGCTGCTGGAGACTGAAATAAAAGATTGAGAAATGGCAGATAAACATCAAGGTGAGGTAATACCTTATACAATACTGTTTATACTGCTTGCATACTTGAAATGTATCATGATCAAAACAGATTAACAGCAAATCTAAAAAAATGTGAGGTGGCTTAATCTGTGATTTTTAAGTAATTTAACATAGCTCGAGCTTTATATAACTGCCCCTAGAACAGGGCTATTCAGTTAGCTTCATTTGAGGGCTGGATTATCAATTTGAAGATTTGAGGTGGGCCAAGGAGGTGGGGGTTGTCCTGATCTTCTTCTGGGGCAACTATAAAATGAATAATTACGTTGAAAAATGCATATTCAGCAGTAAAAATGATTAACAACAGTAGCATCTATAAAAAGTGAACATCTCATTTTTATAGGGTTCAATTAAAGTATTCTGACAGCAGCCATAGGTAAACCCATGTATGGCTCCTCAATACAACAGTTGTAAATGTAACTGATAATGGAGAAGGTTTCTATAAAACTATTTGTTTTAAAAACACTAATCTAAACATGGGTAAAAACTACACATACACACACATGCACACACAAAGAAACTGCCATAGTTTATATAACAAAATGTAACTATTCCTGTAGTTCCCTAATAAAGTTAATACAATATACATGACTATATTATTCAATATGAATATACCTTATTTCTGCAAAAACACTATGGTTAATAGTGTTATTACAGTACATCCATGGTAAATATTTGTAAGGGTGGTGATTTGGGGATTTAATTCTAACTTCATTCATGGCACTATGTTTCTTTTCTTCTTCTTCTCTCATCAGTCCTGTTGGCAGTGTCTAGGCTTTTTCTGATTTTGAACTAGTTTAATTATAGAATGTTATGTGGCTTGTAGCAGATATGTGTGTGTCTAATTTAAATGGTTCTCACGGGATGCTGTTTAATAATGGTGTCTGGAAGTAAACACACTGCTCTCACTGCATTCAAAAATGTATTGCATTAAGCCCAAAGTATACTTCAGTTTTTACACGTACGCTCAACCTATGTGTACAGCCTTTCAAAGTATACTCAATTTGATAATCATCATCATTAGTAATTACTACATTGCATGAGTGCGGCTTGTCTCTGTCAACTAATTTTCAGGGGAAGTTGCTAAAGGCAGGTCAGTTTGTTGCTAAACGACATTGTAATGTCATTGTGCAGAGACATCATTACATACACATATGCAAAACTCTCATTGTGTATTATACACAATGATATTACTCAAACTGACTGACCACCATCTCAGTGAAAAATATGATTTGAAATATTCAGATTTGTTCATAAAAGTCATTTAAACCAATTTTTTATTTTTAAATACAATATTCAATTATTGAACAGTTCCCTTTCAGTCAATCACTCTCGACGTCACGTTGGTGACCGACGAATTGGGATCTCGCTTAGAGAGACCAATCCACTTCAAGTGTAAACTAAGCAAGCCAATGCACATTGACATGCGATAATTGCATCCAGCTACCTCTGATCACAGTGTGAGCATAAAAAGGCAGCCAGTGCAACGCATACCAGATTTTCGCTTCGGAGTCGAGCGACAACATCGTTCTGCTCCTACCAAACTGCTTTGTGTGTGACGAGTCTAGAGTGCTCTAGGGACCTTCTTGTGTTGGCGGACGGCGCCTTTCAGGTGCTTTTTTCCCTTTGAAAGGGCAGTAGCACGGGAGGTCTGAGGGTTACAGTGGTGGCAAACCCCTCAGGGAACCAACACTCGGGGGACCATCGTTCCTCTAGCGCTGGAACACACTGGGCCCTCTTCAAAGAGCGTACAAATGGTATCCTTCGGTGCTCCTCCCGATGAACAGATGTCGATCACTGCATTGGAGGGAGAGCTCTCTGGAGAGGAAGATTCGGCTGCGTTGTCGCCCTCCGGGACGGTGGCAACACCTGAATCGGATCCGGAGGTATCGGCTATGCTTTCCTGGGCCGCCGTGAGGGTGTCCTAAGACCACCTCCTCCTGGTGGGGAAAACCCTCGCTCCCCTCCCAGGCCTGTAGGCATTCGTCTTGTCTGACCAGCAGTGCTTATACGGCTTGTGGAGAAGCTGCCTCTGCCTTACACACTATGGCGTTACTGCAGGTTCATCAGACCAAGGCACTGAAGGATCTGCACGAGGATGGTCATGATCCGGAAGTTCTGAAAGAGCTCCAAACCACCACTGACCTTGCTCTCCGAGCGACGAAGGTCACAGCAAGTTCTCTGGGTCGTGCGATGTCCACACTTGTGGTCCAGGAGCACCATCTCTGGCTGTGTCTGGCCGACATGAGGGACACCGATAAAGTACGGTTCCTCAATGCCCCTGTTTTCCCTGACGTGGTCGAGAGCTTTGCCCAGCAGTTCTCGGCTGCACAGAAGCAGACTGTGGCGATTTCACCACATCCTGCCCCAGCGGGCAACTGCTGCCTACACCCGTCCGCCGGCCGCAGCGCCCCAGCCTGCTCGTCACCGAGGGCGGCCCCCGCTCCCGTGCCGTATCCGCAGCAGCCTCCAGCCAAGCACCGCCGTGGAGCTGGCCATAGGCAGGCCGCCTCGCCCGTCCAGGCCCCCGTCAAACCTGGCGGTAAATGGAAGAGCAAGCGGTCCTTAGACGAACGACCCAGAGATGGAGGGATCTGCTCTTCGGTGGAAGGCCGGGTGGAGAATCTTTTGTATAGTTTTCCCTCGCCGTCGGCCTCATGGTCAATGGGACCCAAATTCAAAAGAGTAGTTTTCTCTATCTCTGGGTCCCGGGAGGCACAGAGAGTCACGGACTGACCAACACCAGACCACACTCATCCTCCTCCATCACCAGCAGGCAGCAGCGGATGGTTCGAGACCGTCAACAAAGGCCCTACTCACGCACCCTCTGCAAAACTGTGGACCAGGTAAGCATTGCCTCGGCTATGCGATTCACTTCGCCCGGCATCCCCCCAAGTTCAGTGGCATCCGCTTCATGCTTGAAGGCGGCCGATGCTCCTGTGTTGCATGCAGAGATCGCAGTTCTACTGGTGAAGGACGCGATAGAGCCGGTCCCTCCAGCCGATATGAAGATGGGTTTTACAGCCCCTACTTCATTGTACCCAAGAAAGGCGACCAATTTTATCTGCGTTTTTGAACCAGGCCCTTCACAGGTTTCTGTTTAAGATGTTGACGCAGAAACACATCTTCGGGTGTATCCGTCCCCGAGATTGGTTTGCAGCGATCGACCTGAAGGATGCGTACTTTCATGTGTCGATTCTTCCGCGCCACAGACCATATCTGCGGTTCACGTTCGAAGGATGTGCATATCAGTACAAGGTCCTGCTCTTCGGGCTGTCCCTGTCTCCCCGTGTATTCCCGAAAGTTGTGGAGGGGGCACCCCAGTTGGGTCTTCGGGTCAACTGGGAAAAGAGCAAACTTTCCCCGACGCAGAGGATCTCTTTTCTCGGTATGTTCGGTCGATCGGTCGAACAGAGAGCACGCCTCACAGAGGAACGTGCACGGTCGGTGCTAAACTGCTTGAATTCATTCAACAGCGGTCGAGCGGTCGCACTGAAATAATTTCAGAGGCATATGGCAGCTGCAGCGGCAGTTACACCGCTGGGGCGGCTTCATATGAGATCGCTTCAGCACTAGCTTCATGGCCGAGTCCCGAGGTGGGCGTGGCAGCGCGGCACTCACCGGGTCCAAGTTACACAGGCCTGTCGCCAAACCTTCAACCCGTGGTCAGACCTTGCGTTTCTCCGGGCAGGGGTGCCCCTAGAAATGGTCTCCAGGCATGCTGTGGTTTACACGGATGCCTCCACCACCGGCTGGGGGGCCACGTACAACGGGAATGCAGTGTCGGGGTATGAAATGCACTGGCATATCAATTGCCTAGAGTTGTTAGCAGTGTGCCTTGCCTTGTCGTCTCAAAGGGCACTTACGAGGCAAGCACGTGCTGGTCCGAACAGACAAAACGGCGACCATTGCATACATCAACTGACAAGGTGGTCTGCGCTCCTGTTGCCTTCGCAAGTATGCGTTTCCCCCATTGATCCTTCTCGCACAGACACTGTGCAAGATCAGGGACAACGAGGAGCAGGTCCTGCTCGTGGCGCCTTTTTGGCCCACTCGGACCTGGTTCCCGGAACTAATGCTCCTCGTGACAGCCCCTCCTTGGCAGATTCCTCTGAGGAAGGATCTACTGACACCCAGTGGCACCCGCGGAGGTTCTAGGTGACCTTCCCCAGGAGGTAGTTGACACCATCACTTCGGCGAGAGCACCGTCTACGAGACATGCTTACGCCTTGAAATGGAACTTGTTCATCGAGTGGTGTTATTCTCACCGAGAAGACCCCCAGAAATGACCGATCAGGGTCGTGCTTTGCTTTTTGCAGCAAGGGTTGGAGTGAAGGCTGTCTCCCTCCACCCTTAAAGTCTATGTCGCTGCGATTGCTGCTAACTATGACCCCGTGGAAGGGAAGTCGGAAGGGAAGCATGACCTGGTCATCAGGTTCCTTAGGGGGCCGAGAAAGGTAAATCCTCCCCGGCCCTCCCTATACCCTCTTGGGACCTGTCTCTAGTGCTCAAAGCACTACAGCAGGGCCCATTTGAGCCTTTGCAGTCAGTCGAGCTAAAGTTTCTTTCAATGAAAACTCTGCCCCTGCTTGCACTGGCCTTCATCAAGAGGGTAGGAGACCTGCACGCATTTTTGGTCAACGATTTGTGCCTAGAGTTTGGGCCGGCTGAACTCCCGGGTAATGTGCCCAAGGTTCCTACTCCCCCCTTCAGGGATCAGGTAGTGAACCTGCAAGCGCTGCCCCCGGAGGAGGCAGACCCAGCCATAGCTTTGCTTTGTCCCGTCCGAGCCTTGAGATGTTATGTGGACCGGAAACAAAGCTTTAGGACCTCAGACCAGCTCTTTGTCTGTTAAGGAGGCTGGCAGAAGGGGAAGGCTGTCTCTAAGCAGAGGATGACCCACTGGATTGTGGATGCCATCACCTGGTTTATCAGGCACAAAGTGTGCCCTGCCCACTCAGGTTGCGAGCTCACTCTACTAAAAGTGTTGCATTCTCCTGGGCTCTGGCTCATGGTGCCTCACTGACAGATATCTGTAGAGCTGCGGGCTGGGCGACTCCCAACACGCTCGCTAGATTCTATAGCCTTCGTGTGGAGTCGGTATCCTCCTGTGTTCTCACCTGAAACGGGTAGAGGCACTGAGAGGCCCCGGTTTAGTGTCGGATTGCTAAAACTGCTCCAGAGTGTCCATACTGTAGACCCTGTCGAGCTCCTCCATCCCTTTGGCAGCCAGACATGGCGGAACGTCCAGCACCAGGCCCTCACTCGATGAATCTGTGAGAACTGGTTAGGGGCTGGGTTCCATATGTAGAGACCTAAGTGGATCCCATATGTGTAAAGTCCACGGTATAGCCTCAGAGCCCGTGTTTCCCTGGCAGACTTCTGCCATTTCCAAGAGGGTTATAATCACCTCTAATCTGCCATGTGCACCTAAACAGTTGTTCATATGTGTAAGTGCTTCTGAAACCTCCTTCGGGAAGGATGGGGCTTCCGCAACATTCCTGTTCCAAGTGGAACGGGTACGTTTTCGCAGTGTTATCCAATCTCACCGAGTGGGTTGTGCAATAACAACCGTGACTGGTCTTCTTGTTTCGAGCCCCGGCCTACACCAAAAAAGGGACGCAGGTGGCTCACACAGGACACTGGAAGGGGCAGCATCCATGGCGCTTTGGTAGGGATCCCAATTCGTGTGACCTACTGAAAGTGAACGTCTTGGTTACGTATGTAACCCTCGTTCCCTGAAGGAGGGAACGGAGACGTCACGTCCCGTCGCCACAGCTACTGTACCACCGTTGAGCGGCCAGGTCACCGGCTCGGCTCCTTAGTGAAAACCTGGTATGTGTTGCACCAGCTGCCTTTTTATGCTCACGCTGTGATCAGTGGCAGCTGGATGCAATTATCGCATGCCAATGTGCATTGGCTCATTTAGTTTACACTCAAAGTGGATTGGTCTCTCTAAGCAAGAACCCAATTCGTCGGTCACCGACGTGACGACTTTGTTCCCTCCTCCAGGAAACGAGGGTTACATACGTAACCGAGACGTTATTCATTTTGAACAAGCTAATAACAAGGTGTATCATAAATGAACATGTCATTATTATTATTATTATTGAACAACTGCAACTAGCAACTCAACTCACATAAAATGTGTGTACTGCTGGGGACCTCTCTCCAACTTCCTCCAGGGCCGGGATTCCCAATAACGATTGATCTTAGCACTTAAGAGCGTTTTCTACGAGTAATTTTGCGAACGTTCATTATTGTTTCACGTGTGTTTCCCAAAAATGCACTTAACACAATCG